TAAGAGACAGGGGCAGCTTTGCGCAGTGGCAGTATCGTAGCCAATGAGGTTAATCCGAGGCGCGATTATTGCTAATTGAAAACTTTTCCCAATACCCCGCCATGACGACTTGAAATATAGTCGGCATTGGCAATTTTTGACAGTCTCTACGGAGACTGAGTCTTGGTGTCAAAAGCAGATGAACAACAAAATGATCTCCCCGGTTTAGGGGATTCAGAGCGAGTTCCACCCACTTAGGCAAGGGGGTTCGTTCTGTTCTTTCCCGGCGCGGCCCGTGCCTGCTCCTGCCAAAGCCACGGCTTAGCAAATTGCGGCCGCGTTTACATGATAAAACTTGGTTCTTGCTTTTTTTTTTTTTCCGAGCTGCTGACGGAGGAATGGGTCCGGGAGAATGGAGGTGGGGGCGCTGGAGGAGCGTTGCTCGCGAACCTCTCGCTGGGGAGGCTGCCCTGGGGAGCACGGGCCTCTCCGGCGGCGGCTTGGCCAGGAGGAGAGGGGCTGGCGTTTCGGGAGCGAGGGGGGGAACTTCGAATCGTGCTGGACCTGCTCTAGAAGTGCTCCAAAAGCTGTTAGAGAACAGCTTTCAGTGCACACTACCATAACCTCCATTGTGTGTGGATTTGCTAATTGGCATCCCTTGCTTTAAAAAAACCAATAAATCGGCTCCTTATTGTCAAAGAAATCACAAAACTTTACTCTGGAAAAAGCAGCTGATAGTTTGGTGTAAAACCCTATTATATAAGTAAACTGCATCCATTTCTAATTTGCAGCTGTTGTCTTATTTAATATCTAAGTGGACCCCACGGAAGGAGACCAGGGCCCATGGCACACCAGCTCCCTGGGCTGAATCTCCGCTGGAGCTGGATGCAGCTGCCTTCTGTCACTTCGTGTGAATTAGATGTGGCTTATGCTGCTGACAGGTTTACCTCTGAAGTTCTCTGAATGCTCCTGTGTGCCCTCCAGATGCTCATAGCAGTGAGACCCAGAACCTGGCAGCTGTTTTAAACTGTAACAAGGCAGAGTAGAAAACTCAGTAGTGAACATTAACGTTCCCTCTTTATCAGGTTTCTTCATAACATTCATCAGTCCTGGGGTACTACACGCAACAGTGACCAAAGAGTGACAGTGAAACCTCATAGATTGGATTTGTCCCCACGTTTGTGCTTCACTATTAGCAATATTAATTTGAAATCAAAACCTGATGCGTAGGGATGCCATTACCCTTTGGCAGAATAAGCCACAGTGATAAATACCAAAGGCCCATGTAGTTTACAGTGAGTAGTACGCTTCATGTAATTAACTGCTGGTTTCATATGAACTGTGTTGATATGTATTGGTTTCATCACTTCACTTTTCTTGTCTCTGCTGCCAAAACAGTGATAATACACTGACGTGATGCTTTCATTCTGCATTGTGAAGTCATGTCCTACATCTTATGCTAGAAACCAAGTTTGTTGGTTTTGCTGTAATAGATCCTTTCAACAATTGTGAAGTTGGAGCTTGAATGGGGAAATTGCATGCTGAGATTTACTTGCATTGTCTTAATCCTAAAGCTCTGCCTGAATTTTTGTTTTATGCATTCACCTGAAGAAAGAGCTACAAGCCCTTGCTGGATGTCCATGTGGCACAGCACAGAGGACACACTGCAATGAAGTCATTATCATCACTCTGTGGTTTTCAGTTACTCTGGAAAGGGCACAGGTAAGATCTAATCATGCCTTACAAGTCAGTGTGACTTCATATCTGTTCCTCTCTGATACAGATTGTCTGCAGTAAATAATGGTGCTTTTCACAGGAGGTATTATGAAATTAGCTTGGATCTCTCCTCTGTTTGGCAGCCAGTCTGAGATTACAGCCCTGAAGGGGACAGGCAGACAGTTAATCCATCCAGTCTCCAGTTTGTGGAGGTCAGTGGGTTAAGCCACCCTTCTATGGAGCTGGTCCATAACTAGTAAGCCATGCTTTGACAGGAGGGAAAGATGCCTTGAGCAAGTACTTGGGTTGTGTGGAGCTAGGAAGTCCTGAAGTCCCAACATTATGTTGATATTGACTCACTCTCTGACTTTTTTCCAGCTCCCAGCCCTGTTTCCCGTCTGTAAATGGGGGCAATAACTTCCTGGCACACCTTCTGTGAAAGATAAGTCAAGTCATAATGTGTCTTAGTCACAGGGCACAACATAAGAGGAAGCCCCGTGTCTTTCTCTGATGCACTACCTGCCTTTGTTCCCTGGCGCTTTCCCAGAACCAGTTATGAGGGATGTAGCTGCTCTCAGCGTCACTCCCCCCTCAGCCCCACCAGCAGCCTCTGGGCATGCCTTGGGGACACTGCTCTGGTGGGAAAGAGTTTGCTGGAAGTGAAACTGCAGCTGCTTCTGCTGGCAGCTGCTTAAGAATGGCACTTGAGCAGCAAGCAGGTGTTTGTGAGTCAGAGAGAGTTTCAGATGCAGAAAACAGGTAGATGGTGAGAAAACAGGAGTTCCAGGGAGTTAGGAAGGACATGAGAACGTGAACATTGGATGAGTTTAGTTTGAGCCCACACCACTGAGCAGTTGTCTTAGCAGCTTGGGTTTAACCTGCCGCTACTCCTTAGGCTGTCACAGGAGGGTTAAGGACTGGTGATTTTAAGTAAGAAATGTTAGCATGTCACTCATGTGACAGCCCTGCCTTTCCACCTCACTGACCCTTTCATAGCAGTGCTGAAGCCACAGGCAAAGCTTTAGAGGCAATGACTTTTTTTTCTCTTAGACTGAGCAGTTTGGCCACAACCTATTTCTTGTGGGTGCAACCCTAATTGGTGCTATGACATGTTAATTTGAGCCCTGAGACAGAATAGAAACTGCTTTCTTGATTTGCACTCACTTCCAGACTCCCAAAGGACACTGTAGGAAGCTGAAGATAAAAATTGCATACCAGGCTACAATATGAACAGAGCACAGTGGGCACTTTATGTATGCAGAGGTAAAAATACAACTCAAGCCGAGACACATGCCTGTGACGTGTTGCTAG